ATGAAAGTATGCTTGTGTATGAATTGTTGAATTGAGGATTATGGATGTGTGCATGATGAAGCATGTTTGGTGATTATCCATGTTTGTTTATACATATATTGTGATGTATATGATGATGATAATGAATTGTGGTGAGAAATGCGGAATATGTGTATTCTATGCTTGTATATAATATATATATATATATATATATATATATATATATATATATATATATATATATACATATGTATATATATATATATATATATATATATATATATATATATAATTATATGCATTGATTATTATGATAATGTTTCTCACCCTTCTGTTGTTTTATAATGCTCTATGAGACATTGCAGATTAGGTTTGCTGGAGGTCTTTTGTGAAGTATAGCTTCATTCTTTTGGTCGGTTAGCTCTGATATGTAGCACCGGGTAGTTAGGATTATATTGCATTCTTTTGTGATACATTTGTATATGTATCTGCTGACAAATGTTTAGGTAAACATGAATGATGTGGTGAATCAAACTGGATGATATGTATTTATATGATTACATGTTTAAAATGATTCAATGTTTAGATTTTCCGCTTTTAATTCTAAATATTGAGATGTGGGTGTAAGGACTAAGTTCCTCTGTTGAAGCTACCCCACTGTTGCATGTCTTTTATAGAGCAGGTGTTATATGTTTCAATTTGTGGATGATGTGACATGCCTCTTTTATACCATGTTTTAATTTTACTCTGATGAAATTTTAATATGTGTTTAATTGATTTATTTGATTATTTGGGGGTGTAGAAGGGGGTGTTACAACCTATGCATCCAAAATTGCTCCTTCTCATCACCCATCTCCTCATAAAACCAATCAAAGAAGTCACAACCAGCTTGCATACCTCCCTGTAAGTTTCATTGTTTAGAGGATGATGGATAATGAATTTAAAATTAAACAAAAGTATAACTTATAATTTAGACAGAAACAAAAACATAACTTAATCAAAAACAGAACTTCAACAGAGAACAAAACCAGCTTGCATACCTTATAATTTGGACAACCCCAAAAACGTTTTCCCATATTCTTAACAGTAGTTGCCCTTTGAAGAACAACCATGTCTCCACAATGGCACATGGGCTTCCATCGTGACCGACTACAAACATCCGAATCCCGACTTTTCGTTTTTGAAATGGAAGAGGAACATCCAGATTTCATGCTTGCCAAATGAAAAAACCCTAGATTAACGTTTACAGATTTGAGATTGGGATTGGGATTTGGGATTTGGGATTTGGAATTATTTTAGGGATTTCAATGGAAGGTGGAGGGAGAAGGAAGCCACATCATGAACAAGATTGCCATGTCATCTGCCATATATACAAAACTAACGAACGTTTGGGGATAACTGACGGTGAGGACTAAAATGACACCATTTTCAAAGTAAAAGGACCAAGTTGCCACTTTTTAAAGATAAGGGACCAACATGGACCCCGAGCTAAAGTTAAGGGACCAAAAAGGTTATTTTGCCAAAAGTTAATGCATCAACATGTAATTTAAATAGGTCATTATAGTATAATGATTAACCGTTTGACAATATTGAAAAATGCAGGAATAAAAATCCATGAGATAACTTAAAGAAACCAGAGAAAATTAAATATACCAAATGCATATTTTTTCTAGCAATAAGAAAAATTATCTTCAGAGAGAAAGTGCATAATATTTACTAATATCACAATGGCATAAATGAAGATTCTTAATACGAAATTTATGAAGAGAAAAATAGTGATTGTCAAATTTTGATAAACTTTGTATCCATCCAAAAGACATCAAACCAATATTATTCATGAGATTTGGTACCAGAATGTTGGTGCTGAAGCTTCCTTCCATAGCTTATAGCCTAATACTTCAGCAACAATGAACACACAACTCACAACAGATCCGGCAGAATGTTAGGGTTGAAGCCTCCATCCATAACTTAGAGCCTAATATTGCAGCAACAACAAACACACAACTCACAACAGACCCACCTAACGCAATTGCGACAATTATGAAAATCAAGGCAGTATTACATTTAATTGGTAAAGACAATTTGAAATCAATCAAAACAAATAGAGATCCCATAGACCACAATCAAACCTTCGTTTGACGTTATCTGATATCAAAAACAAGTTTTAAACCAACCACAACACTGTCGTTAGGAAATTTTACCCCATACCTCTACAATTATACTCATACCCCTACAATTTTAAAAAAATACCAACTTTATTCCTGTATATTTTTTTATTATATTATTCTTTTTTTACTATTTACTGTGTTGTGTCAGATTTTTAGAGTTCCGAGATATTCACCAATCGAGTCTTCCGAAACACTTTTAAAATGACTTCCGGTATGTTGTTTTTTCCAAACCGGAAGACTTTGGCAAAGAGTTCCGGTTTATACACAATATATACCGGAAGAGTTTATCAAAGACTTCCGGTGTGCGTTTTTCGTAAAATTTTACCAGAACACTTTTCTTAAGAGTTTCGGTACTTGTAAAAAGTGTACCGGAACACTTTTTACAAGTCTTCCGGTTTAATAACATTGGCTACCAGAACTCTTTTCCCGAGTCTTCCGGTTTGCATTTGTAATTTTTTTTAATTCCTTTACAAATATGCGATAAAGTTCAGATATGCGTAGATACGTCTGATGTTTTTTCAACTACTCAAAGATTTGGTACACGAGAAGAGGTGATAAGATGGATTAAATAGATCGAAATCCGAAATAAAGTAACGGTTATCATCACTCATTCAGATATTGAAACAGGCAAGAGAGAAAGAAGTAACAAATTAATATTTGGATGTGATAAAGGAGGAAAACACAAAGAGATTGATAGTGGAACCCAGAGTGCGATGAAAAAATGTGGATGTCCATTTAGAATCAGATCAATTCCAGCGATTGGTGGATCTGGATGGAAGATTGATGTAAAATGTGGAGTTCATAACCATGATTTACCTGATAGATTAGAAGGTCACGCATTTGTTGTTAGGTTGACAGCGGATCAGAAGCAACATGTTGTTGATTTGACAAAGAGAAAGGTTCCACCTAGACATATATTGCTTTCATTGCAAGAGCAAGATCCAGATAATGTTACTCGGATCACACAAATATACAAGCAGAAGAGTATGATAGAAAAAAATATAAGAGGTCCTAGAAGTGAGATACAACATTTGTTTAAGCTTATTGAGGATGCAGGTTATGTTTATTGGAGTAGAAAAAGAGATGACTCTGAAGTTATTAGAGATATATTTTGGGCTCATCCAGATTCAGTTAAGTTGTTGAATATTTTTCCTATTGTGTTAGTTATGGACAACACTTACAAGGCAAACAAATATAGACAACCTCTGTTTGAAATTGTTGGCATGACATCAACCGAGTTGACTTTTGCTGTCGCATTTTCCTATATTGAGTCTGAGCAAACTGAGACTTTTTGTTGGGTGGTAGATAAGCTTAAACAATTGTTGGTGAAGAAAGAGTTTTGTCCACAAGTGATTTTGACAGATAGAGATCTTGCTTTCATGAAAGCCATTGAAATTGTATTGCCAAGGTCGATCAATTTGCTATGTCGATTTCATATTAACAAGAATGTTAGTGCAAAACGGAAACAATATGTGGCTAGTGACATGCAAAAGAAAATTGACGAATTATGGACGAATGTTGTATGGGCTAGTGATGAGGTTGAGTATGATCAAAGGTTGAACCAACTTGAGCAGGCGTGTGTTGATTGTAATGAATTTATTGATTATGTGAAGGACACATGGTTGACACCACATAGACAAAGATTTGTCGGAGCATGGATTAATTAAAAAAAACGAAAAAAAATATGAACCGGAAGACATACATAAAGTCTTTCGGTGAACAAACGAAAAAATACAACAAACTGGAAGACTTACTATTGGAGTTCCGGTATATGTTGGTGAAAAATGTAGTTCCTACTGACTTGTTGGAAGACTTCCGGTTTGTATGTGAAAAAGGGTGTTTCGGAAGTGTTGAAGTGCAAATGAAATAAAAGTGTAAAATTTTTTACATTATAACTATTTATACAAGGGCATTTTGGTCCAATATTTTTTAGTGTAAAGGTATGAGTATAAGTGTAAGGATATGAAGTAAAATCTTTACGTGTTAATCCCAAACAGGATTTTCAGTATTGTTAATCACAAAAGTTTTACCAACTATAACATTTAACAAAGAAATCAACACATAAGGATCACTATGAACCAAGGTCACTCAACCATGGTCTATTGTCAATAAAAATACATATATTTTTACTATCATTTGCAAGGAAAAAGCTAAGATCTGCAAAATAAGATTGCAAGTCTCTGCAAACATAACCCAACCACAAAAAAGTTTAATATAATTGCTAAGTAAAATATGTAAATAACAATCAACAAATGTGAAACATCATGTCCGCAACCCGCGCATCAGTTTTCAAACAGCAGATTATATTCTTAACCCATAACCATGGTATTGTGAATTTATGGCCATCTATTTGACTTGACTGTAATGCATCAATCTTACATAGTAAAAAGAACGAAGTTTCCAACTTATAATAGTGACTAATGCAACTACAGCCATCCTTTGAATTGAATGTTTGGTGATATTTTCAGTGTTTTCCACTTCAGTCACGCACCCTACCGTCAAGAGATTACAAAGAATCAGACCACTGAATCATCACTTTCGCAGCTCATATTTACATACCCATCACACCATTTCATCACATTTCTCCCAAGTCCGAGGTAAATAGTTCAACTTTATCTTAGATTTTGCTAATCTGTTCCTTTCCCATCATTTTTCTTGGAAAAGTCTCTAAAGGGTCGTAAAGTAAAGGGATTTGATAATTGATCTTCAGGTGCTATCCCTTGTGAGTTTTTACATTTCACTCTGAAAGATTTATTTATGTCTTTGCTCTAGGATAAAGGGTTTTGTAATTTTTTTCGGGGCTAATATTGTTATATATGTTCCTTTCTTCTTGATTGATTTGTAGTTGCGGAAATGTTGGGTCACACTGATCGACTATCAGAACTGAGAACATCAAAGGACCAAATACTTGCAGACTCTGGGTCTGAATTTGGTGCCGATGAAGAAGAGGAAAATTGTTCGGAACAAATACTTTACTCGGCTTCCTTTGAAGAACTTGCGAGCAATAGTATTAAATATGATACAATCATATGGGTTTCTATATCATTACTACTTGTTTTAGCATGGGGAATTGGCTTTTTAATGTTGCTTTACCTTCCCTTTAGGAGACATGTACTTCGAAAGGATTTCGCTTCTCGCAGATTATATGTTACACAATCTGAAATAGCTTACAAGGTAATATATGTATGGATTGTTATGTGTTCATGATGTTGTATTATGAGTTTGATTGAGAAGTGATTTTTTTTCCTTCCCTTTCTCCGTTGGTCTAGGTGTCAAGGCCTTCGTTTATGCCGTTTTGGGGGACCATAACAATTGAGAGACGCGTACCTCTTTCTTTGGTGATTGATATTATTATTGAACAAGGTACTGATGTAGGTCTTACCCGATTATTTTCTTGCATCCTACTCTATGTAGCACCGAACCTCTGAAAAAGGTGTGTCAGTGTCAGAAACCGACACTGAACTTGTGATACCCGTGTCAGTGTCGGTGTTGTGTTTCTGGTATCTGTGTTTCATAGATCTACTTCAATATCCTTTGTGTTATGTCTCGTAGTACTCCTTTAACTAGATTTCCTATTTTCTTATTCAGGTTGTGTGCAGTCTATATATGGTGTCCACACTTTTCGAATTGAAAGTATTGCTCATGGAAAGGCTGCTCCGGTTGATGAACTACAACTTCAAGGAATTTCTGACCCTGATCTTTTGAGAAAGGTATGAAACAAAACATGTTTTTAGCACAATTTTGTACTTTTCCTTAATATTTACTGCATTGTTGTGATTCTTCAACATTATACTAAATGCGTCCAACATTGATTTGCAGGTTATCATAACAGAAGCTTCAAAGATCTCAGGAGATTTAAGTAAAAATTGGAAGCAAATCGCTCCAAGCATGGCTCGTATACCAACAACAACCGAGGGGCCGGGCGTTTTGAAATCACAATCTATAAATCCAAAGGTAATAATGGACCCTCTCCATCCACCATAACAAAGAGACACTCCTGGCAACTAAAGGGATTGAATTAGTAATGTAAAAGACACAATTTGCAATTCTAAGAGCCATGCAAAAAATTATATGGTCTAAAATTTATAACCTATAATTTTTTGCTTAAATTTCAGTCATATAAACTTGTATTTTACACTAATCTGCAGGTGATAGGCTCGACGCATTCTTCTTTAGTAGAGCGCAGAATAGGCGGCGGATTGCTTCTTAATAAACTAGAAGAAGTCAATGAATCAGTAAAGGTTTGTATCTCATCTTAATGAAATATTGATTCTATTGAAGAACTTATTCAACTAGATGGAATGTAAACACAATTTTCTGTCTCCAAATTCATAGCTCGCCCTTATTGAGTATTTTTTTTGTTGCACAGCCAAATAACAGGCCTAGGGACTGTGCTATTCAGTTTTGTTTTTGACTATATGCGTTCATACTTTAATCGCCTTTTCTTTTTTCTGTATAATGATCAGAGACTCGAGTTGCTTATCGAGAAGTCGCTCGGTTCCCTCATCGCTAGCTGAAGTATGTCATATGCCAGCCCTCCAAGATTTGAATTGAGTTGTAGTTTCCACATTAGTAGTGTACCTTGTTTATATATATATATATATATATATATATATATATATATATATATATATATATATATATATATATATATATATATATATATATATATATATATATATATATATATATATATATATATATATATAGAAATATGAAATGATATTGTAATTACTTTTGTGCTTACCCTCTTGATTGATAGTAAGAACAATGGCTAAAGAACTAGTAGTTCTAGATGTTTGTGATTGCATAATTGTTTTCCTAGTTTCTTATAGGGGTGGCAAAACGGGTCCAACACTGCTCAACACAATGGCGGAGCCAGAAAAATTATGAAGCCTGGACAAAAATTTAAAGACCGCATATTCACATTGTCCGGTAAGAGCATTTAAGGAAAAAGATATTGCACTATCAACGTCCCAATGCTGATCAACTCTATTATAATGTCTAGCTTTGTGAGAAAAGAGCAATTGACGCCGTGCAAAATCCTGCGTAAACAAAGTCAAACTCTTATTACTGAGTCAATACTTAAAAGACTTACTTAAGATATCGACGAAGAAAAACAAAATGCTTACGCGAAAAGATAGTTGCAACCAATGGAGTACCTGTTGAAGGATGTATTTTGGCTAACCAAGATGGAACAAGCCTTGTCCTTCCTGTAACACAAAGATATCTTGCTTGTCCTAACATTGCAACAAGAAGAGAAGCAACTATACCTAAACTTGCACCTGCTCCAACAATGTTGCTTGTCCAACTCCAACCAATTTTGAGAAAAGCCATTGAATAGGAAGCTTTCTCTGATATCTATTAACCTCTTCAGCCATGGTTGAAGCTGAATCATAGCCTATATAACTAAAGTAAACTATTGTTGCTCCATCAAGAATACCTCTAACACCATAAGGAGCTATCCCTTTTGGATTAACCATGTTCTTGGCACTTCCATTGCAATAGCCAGCCACAATAATGAATCCATAGAAAAACACATGGAACACTGTCATAATTAGGTTCAATATAGAGCTTTCCTTTGTACTGAAATGAAACCAATCAAATATTAAGAATCATTGTTAATTTGAAAGAATCATTTTCAAAATAAACTAAACTAGTTAACCAAACCTATGACACAATCAGAGAGTAAGGAGAAGAATGAGAGCTACCTGGAAAATCAACATGTTATAATCCTTTGGCAATCCATGAACTTCTACTCCCCATACATTTGGATTCTTTTCTCCAAATGCAAAGCTAAGATATTCTGTAAAACTCCTAGCTACAGCAGCATTTGAAAATATGAACAAGAACTTTGACCTAATTCTTTGAAATTTTCTCTAGGGATTAAACATTGAAAAGATGTGATTAGCATCCTCAAAAGCACTGAAAGAAGTGAATGAATTGAAGTGGAAAGAGGCGAGAAATTGGTTAAAGCATTTTATCGAACATTTTGCGGGCAAGACTAAAAGCTGTATTTTTCTACATTTTTAACAAGTAAATATTCATCAACTTAACTTCATAATGTTGTATGCTAGTATTTTGAATAAATACCAAAATCGCAACAAAACCAAAACTAAATTGAAATTGTGTCGAAAAATTAACTCGAAACGAACAGTAAAAAGTAGCTTACTATAAAAAAGAAATCAAAAAATTCGGGCCAGAGCCTAGGCATGTGTCCAGCTTGCCCGGGCCGTAAAACTGCCCCTTGCTCGACTTGTCTGCATTTTTTCACAATATAGACCAAGGTTTTAGATCTGCGTTAATATAAATTTTTTAAATTTTTAGATTTTAAAGGTATAATATCTACGAATCAGTTTCCTTAACATCCTAATTTTTTGTGGGACGTATAGATTTTAAATTTGCACCTTTAATTATGTACGTATGTCTCACCACGTTTTTTTAACATACATACGGATTTGCCACCATAAATTCTCCATTTCTTATTTAAGAAAAATCGTAGCCGTTCAATTAATCTAATGTCTAAGGATTTTGATCTCTCAACCATTAAATTAATCCAACGAATTTAACATTTTACTAGAGAGGTAGACGAGTTTGTAGAGGATCCACCTGCCATATACTTTTGTCCACATGTATTTTTTTTGGATAAATGTAATCGATTTCAACCAACCACCTATAGAATGTAATATGTAAGATATTAATTTGTGGTTAGAATTACATGAGGAATCTATTCATCAAGATTTTTGAGCTATACATCCAAAACTCATTAACATGTTTAAGAACATTACATCATAACTATTTCTCTTTTTCCACCTAACTTCACTTCAAAATGGTTACTTTTGCTACTCTTCAAACCCTTAATGGTTCTCTTCTAAGATCCCAATTCCTAGGCCAAGATCTTCACTTTCCTCTCATAAAAACATCCAAAAGAAATCATAGAAATCTAACTTGTCAACCACAAACATGTGCTGAATTCAACATACTAAAAATGATGGGAGGGAGAGGACTATGCAATGGAGAACTAGGAGTTGAAAAAGAGCTGAAAAGGAAAGTTGATCAAGAGGAAACACCACCACCACCACCACCACCATCGTCATCATCCAATGAAAAAGTGCAAGAAACCTCAGAAAAGTTTACTGTTGAAGTTCCAGAAGATGGTTTTGAGAAGGAAATGATGGGGCTAACAGGAGGGTTTCCAGGTGGTGAAAAGGGTTTGATCAAGTTCATTGAGGAAAATCCACCTAGAAAAATTTCTCAAACTTTTAGTATTGAAGAAAGAAATAATCAAAGTGTTGTTAAAGAATCCAAAACATCATAGTTCAAATCTCTCTCTATCCACTTGGATAAGGTTTCTTTCTGATGAGATGAGACTAGATTTTTGTGGAGAGTAATAATATTCTTTTCTTTTGTAGCATCTATGTATATCTATGAGAAATCAAAATGAAAATTAACTAGTACTATTATTTTTATTATTGTGACAAATTGAATTGATCATAGTGTTCTATTTTAATGAACTTGAAGAGAATGATAAAATAGCATCACATGATTTAGAATCCAAAAATGTTTTGACAACTTACAAGTTGGCTATATTCTGTTGTTCACCACAAAATGTCTAAACGTGTCCAATGTTTCATTTGTTGGAATGCCCAATACGAATGTTTTCCATTTAGATATGGATTAATAAATAATCTGCAAAATATCTTAGTTAATATAGATTATTGCATATAAATATAAATTATTAATAATGTATTATATATTTTTAACTATAACTAGAATAATTTGTAACATTAAATTAAATTTAAAATAGCAAGCTTAAATATTAATGTAGAAAATTAATTAATTTATAATTTATTGATAATAATTAATAAAATTAAAATTAAAGAGTATTTTTTACTTTTTAAATTATTTTATATTTTATATATCATATAAGGCTTAAATAATTTTTTTTCCCTGTAAGTAGGGCTGGCAATGAACCAAACCAACTCGAAGATAGTTCGGAATTCGACTCGACAATTAAATCGTTGAACTAGGTTCATGAACCAAATGAGTTGAGTATGAGCGAAAAATTAAGTTCGTTAACTAAATGAGCTGAACTTGAACTATACATAGTTCGACTCGTTAGGTTCATGAGTCAACTCGATTACATATGAAAATAATTATACTGTCTTTAAGATTAGGTTTAAATATTTACTTCAAATCTTAGACAAATTTAATCTTCAATTTAGTAGTTTTTGAATTAGACTCTCAAATGTATCTCTTAAAAGTTGTGTAGGTTTTGAATTAGTAGATTTCGAAGATAAAGTTAAATTTCAATATGATAACTTTTATTTTATTTTAATATTTTATTTAAAATATATATATTTATTTAAAATGTCAAATATACTAAAAAATATATATATTTAAAAAAATAGTTTTTAAGTTCGTGAACCATGTGAGCTGAACCTAATGAGATGAACCTAACGAGTCGAACCGAACTGTTCGTGAACTTATAACGAGTCGAGTTTGAGCTTAAAAAAAAGTTCGTGTCAAACTCGAATTCGAACAATTCTTAACGAGTCGAGTCGAGCTGAGGTTAGTTCGACTCGACTCGACTCATTTCCAGCCCTACCTGTAAGTTACCGTGTTTTTGGCTTTCGTCCCTGAATCTTTTTTTTTTTGGTATGAGTTTTCATATGTTCATTTCTCTTTGGCTTTAGTCTCTACTGTCAATGGAACGTTAAAAAAAATTGAGGTGACAGACGGTGATGATCTAGCCTATGTTTTATCATTTGTTTTATTTTTTAAAGAATACACGTGGATACAGTTTTTAACGAGGGATCAAATTAAAAAGAAGTACATTTTTGTTTGCTTCTCCTTCCTTCCTCCTTCCATCAGTGGCTTCTTCTTCATCCTTTGCAATTTTCCCTCTGCTCCATCGACATCCATGGCCTCTTCTTCATCCACGACCTCTCTTCACGTTTAAGCATCGATTTGTGGTTGCAATAGAAGCGTGAAAATGTTTATGTCAAATTCTATTGAAAACCATAAAAGAAGATTTTGGAAGTGTCAAAATTCAGGGTTAATGTCTGGTTGCAAGTTGTTCATTTGGGATGATGAGTTTGAACGAAATCCAGTCAGTGATCTTAGAAGTTCAAGTGGTTGCAACTGCTCGAAAATGTTGAAGGACTTAGGGTCCATTGTTAAAGAGATTGAGATTGATAAAAAGGCAAAGATGAAGAATAAGTTGGAGAAGGGGAAGAGGAAAGCGTCTCTGTTGAAGATATTGTTGGTTGTGTCATGTGGGTTCTTCTTTGCTTATCACAAATGGTGGTGAATCTCATTTATTTATGTCTGTTTCTTTTTTTTTTGTTAGTCCTTGTAACATTGATATATTTTGAGATTGGTCCCTATACAATATGATGAATGAAAAGGATGTTTTGGTTTTGGACAGTTTATGTATGCAATTAAATCAATTAAGGTATAAGTCATGTCAAATTGGTATCAAATTGGTAATAGGCCATGTCAATTGTCCATAAAACTAACTTGAGCCAATTTATGTATCAAATTGGTAATAGGCCATATCAATTGTCCATAAAATTAACTTGAGTCAAAATACTGCATTAAACAAACTTGATAATGTATCATAAAACAAACCTGATATACTGCATTAAACAAACTTGATAATCACTATGTCATAAAAGACATTTAGCAATGCTTTTTTTGGTCTTTAGCAGCGCTTAAAAGTGCTGCCTAAAGTGGCATTGCTGTAGGTAAAGGCGACGTTTTTTTTAAGACAAAAGCGCTGCTAAAGACCCCCTTTAGGCAGTGCTTCTTTTTAAAAGCATTCTCTAATGTCACCTTTAGAGAGTGTTTTTTCATGGAAATCGCTCTCTTTTCCCCCTCTTTAGGCAACACTTTCTTATGTATATTTTCTTCATATTTTAGGTAGCGTTTTTTCATGAAAAACGCTCTCTTTTCCCCCCTTTAGGCAGCGCTTTCTAATGTATAGTTTTTTCATATTTTAGGCTGGGTTTTTTCATGAAAAGCGCTATTTTTTCTCCCCCTTTTGGCATCACTTTTGAAAGCGCTTTCTAATGTATATTGTATTCATGTTTTAGGCAGCGCTTTCTGTAAAAGCGTTGTCTTAGGTCCACTTTAGGCAGCGCTTTTCTTAGAAAGCGCTTTCTTTTCTACACGTCATTGGATGTTTTCAAAAACACTTTTTTAGGAAGCGTTTTTTTGTTATAAGCGCTGTCTATTGTGCATTTTTTTTAAGAAGACTTTTTATTAAAAGTTTTGGTATAAGTCTTATTTTTTACTTATAAAATGGAAGCACAAACCATTAAGCCTTTATAATATTTCAACACATATAGGCCTTATATACCATTATAATTCAACACATAAACCTACTTATAACCATTATAATTCAACACAGACCTTTATTTCAACACATAAGTTATATACCATTATAATTCAACACATAAACCTGCTTATAACCATTATAATTCAACACATAGGCCTTATATACCATTATAATTCAACACATAAAACTGCTTAATTCAACACAAACCTCATAACCATTATAACTAAACACAAACCTCAATATAAACCTCCATAATTCTAATAAAACATATACACTTCTAAAACCCTTAACTTCTAAATATTCACTATACATAATTACAAATTTCATCAATCCTCACAACAACTTCTAGAAGTATATATACAACAACTTCCAGAACTATTCCTATTTAGTAGTACAAAACATCACAACAACAAAAATCTGTAAAGACCATAAACTTCACACAAAAGAAAGAAAGACAATATACCTTATATAATTCTCATCTCAAGAATGTATTGACATCATTCCTCCTTAATTTCTTCCAGTTTATCTTTCGAGTAAGTAGCACACTTGAATTCATCAAAGTACTACATAATATAACATAATATGCATGATTTAGTTAAAACTAATTAATTAGATGAAATATCCTTTAAATATTAAAATAAGTCCTAATTTATAAATCCATACCGTGTTTGGAATCTCTATTTGACCCAAATGAAGAGTTTGCTTCATAAACCTCAATACAAAATAACCGTAACCTATACCATTATGCTGACGAGGACACTACACATAGAATACGAATATATATCAGGATATATAGTTTAACTTGTTTTATCAAGTAGCATCACTATTATAATCAAAATTGTAAAAATATACATGCACTCTAATCCATCTAATATTGTTTGCTTTATTCTTTGGTACTCGAGCTTGCCTCTATGATCAGAATATTTGTATAGCTCTAACATAATATAAACAAATATTTAGAACAATCTCACATAATAAATAAATATACATACAAATATTCAGAACAATCTCATCATTTACGTATCAACCATCTTCTTCATATCTGGGTATTTTGTTTGATCACTATCTAACGAATCCAGATAATGTACTATTTCTTTTATCAAATTAATCGCAATCAACAACCAGTGTCTACTGCAAAATAATATAAAAGTTTAGATAGAAATTTTCTATACAACGTTAAAAAACGAATAATTATAATAAATGAAATTAGAATAAAATTTAACCCATGGCCAGTATTATATGACAAAAAAATTTATGTATCTCTATTGACCATAAATGTATCGATTAAGTGATTTTGGACTGCATTTGGACTTTGATCGATTAACCGTGCGTTGATACAGCTGAAAGATAAGAATGAGAATCTTTCTGTCAATTGACGTGGGAGCATCAATTTGTCATACAAGTACCTTAAACAAAAATATAATTAACATTAGAATATTCATTGAAATGAGTAAATAAATTGTTTAATTATTTAAATAAAATTGATCGGAGCACCTGATGCATGAATTCATAACACCGATGCCTAATTCAGAATGTTGAAAAATCTGATCCAAATCCTCTTTAGCAATTGTTTCGGTATAAGCAAAACCGAAAATACCTTCCTCCATAGGTTTTTCACGAATACCACCTTCCATCAAATATGTTGTTCCTACATATGTTTCAAGGCACAACCTAAATCGAGGAACAAATGTTTTTTTAGGCTCGGTCTTCGCAAGATCCTTTTCTTTTACACATTGCTAAATACAGACATGATATTCTTGATGACTTGTTGCAACTCTTGAGCATGAATCTAAAAATCATATAAGTTTGGTAATTAATGTATAAGATCACAACGCTTTTGAATTCAGAGGATATAATTGACACTTTATATGCATATATATCAATGTACCTGTTTTTTTGATGCAGCTGACCCGGTGTGCCGCACAGTCTCCTTATCTTTTGATTTAAATTCTGTAGGAGTCTAAGATTACCATGTA